GATAATTAAACATTCCATCCAGAAACCTCCAATCAATCTGACAGAACACACCCGTTCAAAACACGGGTTTGCAGCAATATTCCAACAGACTGATAAGGTTTTGCCTCTCTGGGAATTAAAAAAAAAAAAAAAACCCAAGAAAAAACAAAACGTTTAAGTCCCCATCACGTATTTTGCAGATTTGAGGTGAGGATTAAGCACGAATAAATATACCTAAAGGGAATCAAGAAATGGGGGAGGTCACTGGGGAATTGCATTCCTCTTTTCCTGCAAAGAAAGTCAGGTTATAACGAGCATCCAGAGGCGCAATCTCAAAGGTGGAAAAGAAGCTAGAAAGGCCCTGAGCTCTAACAGTGCTGCGCATGCTCACCCATGCGCATGCTCAGAATGAATTACAATAGGCGTGTTGCTCCCACGTTGCCTCCCTAATGGTGTGGATGGGTACAGGGCGCGCTGCCTGTGTATCTGTGAGCCTCAGTTCCTTCTAATTTAATGACACAGCTACCATTCTCATCTCCACATGGTATCGCCTGTGTAACTGTCCAGATCTCAGGCAGTTCAACTCCCACTAAGCCCCCAAGAGATAGCTTTTCTATTTTTAAAAAAGCAAGCCCCCTAGAAAGGGATAGATGGTGCTTCTTTTAAAGAGCTTTTTAAAACTATTAAACTCGAATTTTCCTATCTAGCAGGTTCATGGTATGCAGAGTTAATATAGAAAGAGCGTTTGCACAAAGCCTGTATTTGATTAGTTCCCTTCTTAACTGATATAATTAAATATTGAATTGACCCAGAGTGCTGAATATGACTTTCTGGTGGGACCTGTGCCACCAAATCCCTAAAAGCCTTTTGTTGTTTCCTTACCGTAGTGGATCAAATAAAGCTGCAGTTCCTAGGCCTCATTTGACCTAAAACAATTTTAATGCTGAAATGCTTTTCCAGGTATTTTGCCAGTTACCATTGATCAAAAACTTAATAAGACATCACTTGGAGTTCCAGCAGCAGCCTGTATGGGGCTGAACAGTGATAGTGTTGGCACTTCTGGAACAAATTCCTAAGTTTAATTTCTATTTTGTAGCTATCATTAATAGACACACACACACACACACACACACACACACACTACACACACACACAATGCCTAGAGAGAGGCATTACATGTAGTACTGGTGTTATTCCTTAGAAATGTTACTACAAGTAACTTAGACATTTTATCTTTACAGCTAAACTCTAGCATTAAGAGGCACATTGAAAGAGGAAAGCTAAAGCCTCTGATGAGCTGGGAGTCAAGGACATCAGGATAGGAGATCCATTAGACTAAAAGTTGCCCATAACATTCAAATTAGGGAGTTTCTGTAGAACCACTTACAAAAATTTAACAATTTCCACCAACATTCCTTCCTTCCTTCCCTCCTTCCTTCTTCCTTCCTTATGTTTCTTTGACATAGGGTCTTTCTCTATCACCCAGGCTGGAGTGCAGTGATATGAACCACCTAGGTTCACTCTAGCCTCAAACTCCTGGGTTCAAGTGATCCTCCTACCTCCTGAATAGCTCCTTGAGATTACAGTTGTGAACCACTATGCCCAGACTGTTTTGAATTTGTTTTGTATATGGTGTAAGGTATGGGCCTAATTTTAATCTTTTACATGTAGATATCCAGTGTTCACAGCCCCATTTGTTAAAAAGACTGTGCTTCCCAATGAAATGTCCTCAACATCTTGTCAAAAATCACTTGGGCATAACGGTTAGCATTTACTTCTGGGCTCTGTATTTTATATTTTATTCCATTTATCTATATGTCTATTATTATGCCAGTACCACACTGTTTTGATCACTGAATCTGTGTAATAAGTTTTGAAAATAGGAAATGTGAGACATAAAACTATTTTTATTTGTTAAAATTGTTTTGGCTATTCAGTGTTCCTTGAAATTCCATATGAATTTTAGAATGTATTTTCCTATGTCTTCAAAAATACCATTGGGCCCTGCCTTAATTTTAACACTTACTATTAAAATTATTAAACACTGTTCAAAATCCAGCTTTAATCCACCACCTGAAGAAGCTTTTCATGACCTTCCAACGTTCTGAAACTGTGATAATATGTATTAATACATTCTTCCCTAGCTGTTGCACAGGGAAATCAGTGATTTAACACAAAAGTTTATCTCTGGCTCACATCACAGTCTGAGGCAGTGTCTTAGTCCATTTTCTATTGCTATAGCAGAATACCTGACACTGGATAATTTGTAAAGAAAATACTTTGTATAGCTCATGGTTTTGGAGGCTGGGAAGTACAAGATTGGGTGGTTGCATCTGGTCAGCTTCTGGTAAGGGCCTTCTGCTGCATCATAACATGGCAGAAGGCATCACAGGACGTTAAAGGTGTATGAGAGCCAAGCTGGCTTTTATAACAGACCCATTCTAGTGAGAACTAATCCTCTCCCATGATAACCCATTAATCAATCCAGGAATGAGTTAATTCATTAATGAGGGCTCTTCCCAATTATGTGTTAGATGCTCCACCTCTTAAAAGTGTTACAGGGGGAATTAAGTTTTGACATGTGTTTTAGAGGGGACAAACATTCAACCCATAGTAGGTAAGTTGAGTGGCTTTACAGGGCACCACTCCTCAAGTGTTGCCTTAGAGATCCAGGATGCTTCTATCTCATTAGGTATGCAATTAAGAACACATGGTCTCCAAGTTTGCCCAAGCAGAGGAAGAGCAAGATAGAGACACACTGGCTATTAAAGCCTCCACCTGGATGATACACACAAAACTTCATTCACATTTTATTGACTAGCACTAGTCACTTGGCCCCTTAACTGCAAAGGATGCTGAGGAATGTGTAGGAGTGTTTCATTTGGTGAATACTGTTGCTGACACAAGCACAGACTGTGGTACCTTTAATTGGATACTTTCTATACTTTTGAAAGACATCTCTTGTATTATTGGCTTGTCTCCCTATTTAATCTTGTGTCTGTCATGGCTCCCAGTTCTACTGTAAGTACTTTGAGAATAGAAACAATATGTCATGCATCTTTGTGTCTCCCTTCTTATGCAGCAAAATGGCTCTTGTATAATTGGTTCATTCAACATTCAGTCAATAAATACTTATTGAGTTCGCATATTGTGCACTGTTTTAGGAACAAGGAGTACCTTGGTGTGAAAATACAGTGAATTCTCCATACCTAATTTACAGAATCAATCAAATATTCACACAAATGAATGTAAAATTATAACCATGCTGAATGTTTGAAATTAAAAGCACATCACGTTTTAAAAAATGCTCTCATAACTAAATTTGAAAACAATGATGCTGTGGAATAAACTAACAAAGAAAAATCCAAATTCTTATATGGATTGGGAAAAATCCTGCCCTGTGGAGATTCCAATCAGAGAGAGCAATGGAATGGGGAGAAGGCAAATACAATGGTGTCAGGCAATTAGCAGGTGCTTCTGAACTCCCTGGAGGAGTGAGGTTTTCAGACAGCATTCCCCAGTCTCCTGTACTGTGCCTGGTGTGATAGGCAACATGTCAGGAGTAATAAAGAAAAATGGCAGTGTAACTACAAACAGAAGAAACACATCTTTGGTGCATTTCCATCCTGTCAGCAGTTTTCTGTCATACCCTAATGGGATCGTATGAATAATTTTGTTTTCTCTAATCGGAACCAAAAATATGTATATAATCTCATCAGTTTGTTTTTAAATCATACTATGAAAAAATGAATACTAACATGATGAAAAGAAGAGATAAGTAATAGAAATACAAGTAAAATGGAATATTTGTGGACATGATTATTTTAGATATTCATATGGCATCTGTGATAAGAATGTTGTTTCTGCTCACTCCTCTGTACTTGATAAACTATGAGTAGTTATCCGAGAATGGCAGGCATCTTTGTCTTCCTATGTTTTTACACTGGGAAAGGAATGTGTCTCTTCGACTTACATATGTTTATTTATTTATTTATTTTGTTCTATCATGTGCGTATGAGCTTTCAGTCTGCTCCCATGGCATAATCTAAATGACTTGGACAATTTGTTATTGTCGGTTTTGGAGATGAGAACATGATGACATCCTGTGGCCCTAAAAACATATCCATTCGAACTCAAAAGAGAGTCATGTAAAATTATTTCAGCAAAGCCGCCTCCATTTTCCCCAGAATTGTTTGGGCAATTTTATTTGTTTTTTGTCTGAGTTATTAGACAAATTGTTCAACTTCTTATTCATAGGCTACGTTGAAATCCAAAACTGGATCAACCAGAATTCACATACTGCAGTGAATGCACATAATAAGCATTTAATAAACAGTGGTTGAAATTAAGTCAGTTGAATTGAACTGAACTGAACTGAAAAATTAAAGACTTGTGTGGTTCAGCAAATTAGAACATTCTGTTAAAAATGGACAATCCAATCTCTTGCCCTACAGTGGCATGCTCTGCCTCCACAGAGAGTGTAGGTGTATGAATAACCACGTGCTTAGCCAGTCGTGTATTCAAGCACCGAAAGCAGGTTATTTGTGTTGCATGATGTCATTGTGAATTTCCTGTCTTTGTAGCTCAAAAAATATGGTCTGCTACAAACCAAGAAGGAAGAAATGAATTATTCAACAATGGTGTTAGAAAAATTGGCCATTTGAAAAAATAAAATAAAATAAAATCCTCAGGTTAGATTGTCACCTCAGATCATTTAACAAAATAACTTTCAGCTGAAATTAAAAAGTGAAGTGTAAACAGTAGAATTATAAAAACTCGAAAGAGCATATGTAGATAGGAATTGGTGGAAGGTGGCTGGTGGGGCACAAAGCAATTTCTTCTTTTACTTTTTACATCTCTGTTGTCTTTTAAAAACAACAAGCAACAATGTCATGAATACTTTTTTAAATGAGGAGAAAACATAGTATTCTATTGACCAATATTTTATTTATCTCAGGGTAATGAAGACCTTTCAAAAGCGATGGAAGAATCACCCAAAGAAGATAAATACATTTGGACAACTTCTGCAAATCAATAAAAACATCATAATATAAAAGAGATGGATGAAAAATTGGTGGAACATTTGACACACATGTTACAAATGTTAATATCTTTACTGTGTGAAGAACGATTGCACCTTAATAAGAAAAGCATGAACCATGAATTCGAAAAAAGGATAAAATAGGTGTTGCATGGAAAATAATGTTTTAACCTGATAAAGTAGTAAGTAAGCATATGACAATTGTACCAGGATATTCATCAGAGTTTCATTTGTAATATTTTAAAAATGAGGACCAAGCTGGGCACGGTGGTGCGTGCCTGTAATCCCAGCTACTCAGGAGACTGAGGCAGGAGAATTGCCTGAACGCAGGAGGTGGAGGTTGCGGTGAGCCGAGATCGCGCCATTGCACTCCAGCCTGGATAACAAGAGCGAAACTCCATCTCAAAAAAAAAAAAAAAAAAAAAAAATGAGGACCAATCTTAACATATAATAAAAGAATACTAAGTGGGCTATTGTTTAAAGACTGTAATAATGTAAGGATATTACAGGAAATGTATCAAAAGGGATATTGTAGGAAATGTACCAAAAATATCAGTAGTACTTACCACTTGATAGTAAGATTACTGTTGTTTTGTTTTCTTATACTGTCCTTATTGTTTTCCTAAAAGTAGTGTGTAGAATTATTTTACACCGAGAAAAAAAAAAAAGAAACATTTATTTTAAGCAAAGGTCTTCTTAAAAAAAAAAAAAAAAAAAAAAGCTTACATATTAAGTTTAACATCTTTACCCGGATGAAATGCTGTGGAAACTTTGAATGAAAGACCCAACATTATTTCTGTGCATCTAACTTTCATGGACTGCCAGTTTAATGTAGAGCATAAGAGGCAGTGAATTAATTTAACTTTAACCTGACCCATTTAATATTAATATCTATGCCCACGCTCTCTCTCTCTTGTTTCCCTGCCATCTTCTTTCCTACTGGTTATTTTTCACTAATGTGCTAGCTAATATAGGACACCTGAGAGTATAAATTGTACTTTCAAAATAGATCTTGTCTCTGTTCATGTCCCTTGGAAATGTTTAAGTGGAGTAAATGCAACAAATAGCTGAAATGTCGGCCTTTAGGGATGTTTGATGACTTCTTCCTTTCAGAGACTCAGAGTAGGCCCACATTGTGAAGTTTTTCTCATCATTTGGACAAGTCCTTCACTGTCAACTGCATTCTTTCTGCTCCGGGTGCAAAGCATCTAGATTATTCCCAAATAAACACAAGTCATCTTCATGCCTTTAGACATCTAATATCGTTCTTTAAAATGTTCACTTCTTGTCTTCTTGGTCCCTCTTTTCCATTGTTGGCTTCCAGTTGCTTTTTTTGTTGAAACTAGAGCAGAAGTATGGCTGTGAAGGGTCAATAAAAAGGGTGATGGAAAGCACAAAATTAAGAAAAGACACTTCTCAGTCTTAGGCTTCATAGTCGGATTTGTAAGTAAAGCAGTAAGCCATCTAATCAGGCTGGGACCTACCCTGAATAAACATTCTCTCTCTTTGCAGTGCCTGAAATGTGATCATTACAGAATGAACCTTTGCAATCATCATTGGCCTTTCCAGATAGTCTCCTTAAACATGTAAATGCCCCTGAAAAGGACTAAAATTACTAACACTTTAATATGAATAACTTCTAATAAATTCTCTTCCTACTCACACAAGAGATGGGTGTTCTTCAAGATTTCATTTGTCATCAGCAAAACTGTGTGGGCTTGGAAGCTGGGAGTTCTAAAATTGAAAGGTAAGGAAACAAATGAGCAACTTCATAATATTGAACTGGGCAAGCCCCATGTGCATTCTGACCATGTGCCCAGTGAACTCACGTCCACCTGTGTCCCAGCCATCAGGAGGGGGAAAGAGAAGAGCCAGTTCACAGTGACAACTGCAAGGGAGTCAATGGGAACTCTCAATGCCCACAGCTTCTTTACCATTAATTTCAGGGTTATCCCATTGATGCTGGGAACCTACAGAGCAGCCAGACATTCATCTCAGGTTCGACTTCCTTATCAGAACAGGAAAATAATCACAATGAGACACCTAGTGAAAAAGTCATACTGTGACTGCCCTGGCCCTGTCTCAGCTTAAACAATAAAATATGAATTGCAGAACATAACCCAATAACAGGAAACAGGACCAGTGCAGAGGGTGCTTTTGGTAAACAGCAGCAGTTCCCCCGACCACAGTCTTGAATAACGCCCTTCCCAAATCTAGAGAAAGGGATAAAGCTTCCATGTCAGGAGAGCTGAGCACACACTCATGCACGGATTTCCATCTCTCTCTGACATCTCTTCCCAAGCCGTAAACTTTTGCCAGAATCATATACCCTGTCCTAGGACAAGTAATGAAATGTAATGACAGTCTTTCCCCATGCCACTTACAGCTGCTTCACAATGGCTGCTAATAAAGACGTATGACTTTATGTTGTCCATCTGTGTTCCAGAAGCAAACGTGCAATTGTGTTTTCCTCTTAGGTCTGCTCTCAGCCTAGAGGAATGGGGCCTGGGAAAGATGAATCAACCTTGAGCTGACCTCTAACTGCTTTCTAGGCTACAGTTCAATACCTCAACAATGTTTCCAGATCTCTTGCTTCCATATGACGTATTTGTTTGTTTATTTATTTTTTTGTGACAGGGTCTTGCTCTATTGCCCAGGCTGGAATGCAGTGATGCCATCATAGCTCATTGCAGCCTGTTTATTTTTCCAAGAACAACAGAACTGTAGTAGTCCTGTGAGCAATCCAATAGAATCAATTCTTGTTCACAGAAAGCACTTGGATTCCAGTGGGTATGATTTTACTCTGTGCTGTTTATTTTTCATTTAATCCAAGGGACCCCAGAGGGTTGGTCAAAGAATTAAAAGTAGGATTTGAAAAGAACTTGAAGAAGTTTTTCTTTGGAAGCCCAGGCAAAAATGAGAGATTAGAGTACAATGTTATTATTTTGAGCATTTACGAGGGCTGGCGTTTGAACATATTCATTCTCTGGGGTATTCATGGCCTAACAATTTGGCATTCATGTTTTTGGGGACTTTTAAACTAAGTAACAGTACTGACAGCTGCCAAAGCAGACAGTATAGATATATGGGCTTTCTGATTCGTGTTTTCAGAGGCTGTTGAGTCAAGTCAATTTCTACCAAGAATCTTGAACAGAGAAATTTAGAAGATACAGTTGACTCTCAGTAGGTGGCCCCTCTCCCCTATTATGGAGGCAGCTACATGAATAATATTTAAGACAAAATAATCCAGTCACATGTGACACCAGAAGGAGATCCTCAGTGCCTGGTGGGCTGTGGCAAGGCCCTTGCTCAGACAATGATAAAATATAGAACTAAAACTGAAGACAGGGTGGCTGCAATAGACAAGTAGCAGCGATAGGCAAAGTGTGCTGGTTGGCACACAGTACAGACATAAAAAACATGTAGCTGTCCCATCTACAGAAACAGGTGTTGCCAAAAAGCTGAAGAGGTAACTCTTTTAGCTTTTTCAAAGTGGACAAAATATCTAGTTCTCTCTGGAGCCACCAAAGTCATAGACTGTGCTTTAGAAAAGCAATGCAAACACTCCCTCCCCAGGTAAAGGTGGTAAGCTCTTCTCAATTTGCCTTGTAGTTATAAATTCATGAAAATGGCACAGTTCAAAGAGACCATGGATACCTCCAGGCCAGCTTCATGGAGGCACAAAACCAACATCCCAACACCTGAAGTTTTCTCAAGGATGCTTGAGTGAGTCTCATTTGCTTTGATTTCAAACCCTTAGAACTCTACATTTGGCTTATTAAGAGAGAGCCTCCTTTATTTAGGGAAAGTTTTATAATCTTTAAATATTGTCCTATTTTTGGTAGGGCTTTTTGATCCATTTATAATACCTATATACACTTGCAAGTGTACTGGTGTGCACATACATATACACACACATAATCTGTAACATAATATGTACACTTGCATATGCAAATAAGTATTATGAACACTGAATATATGTATAAATATACATATGCACATCTGTACATGTATAGGTTTATCAGCCTGTATCCTATACAGAGAGAGTTTATAAGGAGAGTTCATAAACTTCTGCAGTCATATGTCACCTGTCCTGACCATTTCATTCCTGTTTCTTCAAACCCACCTCTCTCTGTAGCTACTGGAAAGGAATAATAAAGTTCCTTATGATGAGACTCCAGTGCAATTTGCATTGAGCTTTTGTTGCTAAATTACATCAGACAAGGCAGAGGCATTGTCAGTGCCCATGGTACTGTCATTTAATCCCTCTGTGCCTCAGTTTCCTTGTCTTTAAACAGAGGCTAATATAGTATCAAACCTATGTGACAGGCTTGTGGTGAGGATCAAATGAAATAATACATGAAAAAAACTTGAGATAGTGCCTGATACAGACTCAACACTTAAAATATTGTACTATTATTAGTGTACAATGCCATAATTATACAGGTGATGAATTACCAATGAATCAGGTCAGAATTCAAAACAAATCAATAAATATGCATTACCTACTATGTGGAATCACTGTTGTAGAAACTACATGTTTATTAGTGGACCCTCAGTTCATACTCCGTTAAACATTTATTGGTTATCTGAGTGAACCACAGAAAAATATCAGGGATAGCTGATTATTCTGCTTTCTGTAGGCTGGAACTGGGATAATTTCAGCAGGAAAAAATGCCCTCATTCTAATTGGGACCTGTCCAGAACATGCGGCTAAACAAACCTATTAATAAATCGTGACTTCAGTAATTAAAGTTACACACACAGACATCATGCATACTAAAATGACATTTTGTTAATAGACTGTCCTGGCAGGTTGGGGTGTTCTTTTAAGCTTTTTAGCAGCAACAAGCTGCTTCCTAGTCAGGAATCTTAAAATAACTATGTCATTACATAAACATTCGACATCCACCTTATGCCAACCCACGTTCTATTTCTTTTGGAAGAGAATGAAATAAGATGAATTGACATGACCCCAGGAGCCTATGGTATAGAATGCTAATGTTTTTGAGATGGTAGACGTTCTAAAAGTTGTGAAAAAGGGCCATTGTTACAGGTGTGGCTGACCTCTGCAAGATTATTTTATTGCAAGGGTTCTTTGGTTTTATAAGCTGACATGTAAGAGTCAACATAAATAAGGTGCTAGGGGAATATTGCCACAGAGGTAAGAGCATTAACTTATGTAGCTATCTCAGTATAGCCAACTGGGCCCTGGTAAGGGGACCTAAGGACTCCACTCAGCCAATAAATAGCAAATATGGCCTGACTAACAACGTTAAGAGAGCACCAGGTTTATTGTCCTCAGAATTAAACTGTATTAGGAATAAACCAGAAATAGTGATAAACCCACTCAGACAGATACAAGATTTAGGCATCTTCAGCCTCTGAGCAAAGCTCTTGCATTACTGGAACTCAGGTAACAGTGAGACAGGTCAGACTGATGATTGGGTACAAGTCAAATAGATCCCATAGGGAGACATCAGACTTTTTGGTGAATAAGAGGAAGCCCAGCAACTAAGGAGTCAGCATGGGAAGAGACAGGAAAAGAGGAAAATATCCAAAGATGGTTTAGGCTGTTTGCATGAAAGAAAAACCTTGGTGGCACATGGCAATCACCAATTAGTGGTACTAAAGCAAAGGGGCAGAGACCAGCAACTGAATCTGGTATCTAGGAAGGACTGAGTCACAGAAAGCAACTCCAGAGACCAGAGACTGGAACCGACAGACAGACAAACTAAATGCAGAGCCTCTTGAGCAATCTCCTCATAAATTAGGGCTTTATTAGTGGAATAAACTTTATTAGTGGAAGTAAATTTGCTTAATATATTTAATAGCTAGTCCCTGAAGGTGTGCCCTAGTGAACCATAGCCTTACCACATTGAATTTGGGTTGGCCCTATGACTTACTTTGACCAATAGCATTTGGCAGAAGTGACACTTTTTATCTTTGGAGCTGGGCCTTAAGATTTGCAGCTTTCAGTTCTGCTGAATTCCACTTACAGTGCTTTCCCTTGAAACTCAGCTGCCATGCCATAAGAAGCCCAAATTCTCTAATGAAGTCATACAGAAGAGAACAGAGGCATTCTGACCAATGGCTCAACAGAATTCTCAGCAAAGCCAGCACCGACTGCCAGCTATGTAAAGAAGCTGTCCTGGATGTCCAACCAAGTCAAGGCTTCACCTGGCCCACATCACATGAAGCAAAAGAACCACACAGCTGAGCCCAGTCAACTCACAGAATCATAAATGATAATAAAATAAGTATTGCTTCAACCACTAAGTTTGGGGACGTTTATTATATAGCAACAAAAAATGGAATTTGTGAAGTTTACAGGGAATATAAAAGCAATTAAAAAAAACTAAGCCTTAATTCCATCAGAGAACATTTGAAATTATGAACTTTAGCCTTTTTTAAAAAATTTATTTTATTCAGCCTACTCTCTTTAGTAAGATAGGCATTTGTATATTTAAGAGGTTCCATCAAAAATAGTTAAAACATGCAATGTTTTATAATTGAAAGACAAACTTAATTTAACTAAAGAATGTACTTCTTGTGTTGTTACATTGATTCAATTAAAAGTAGTATGGGGTAAAGTAGAGAGCTTTGAAAGAAAATTCCGGATTTCCCAGATTTTTTCAAACACATTATCACAACCACCAACTTTAACTATGAGCATCGTATTTTCTCAAGATGTGGCTGTACTTAAATTTGCTGCTAGAGCTAAACATGATTTTTTGCACTGAACTTCTCAACCTAAAGTAAGCCTTCTGCTTATTATGCTCATGGCTTACATGAAATGACTTCTGTGTTTGCTCCAGAGTCCAAAATCTTACAAAATATCACACTGAGCATGAGTTTCAGAGGATAGACGAAAACCAGAAGAATGGGTCATATTTGAGAAGGAGCTAGAAAGAAGGCCTACGTCCCAAATCAGCACACTGAGCATTAATGTCACAGCATTTGCCAAAACATCAAAATGGGCCACAGCAGGCCAACATTACCAAGTCCTGGAAGACAGAAAATCAAGCAGAGGTTAGCATTTCACTGGTTACCTAAGGTCAATAGCCAAAGGTCAGGAAGCCTTTGTACCAAATAAGGAAAGATTTAACTATCAGGTCTCCGAGACCAAGCCTGCCAGGGTCTGAAATCTAGAAATGATGGAGATCAGTCCAATTACCACAGCAGTCAGAGCTCAAAAGTGACCTCATTGCTTTGAATACGTTTGTAAATGGTGACCAGAAGAGGGCAGTCCATGGCCCATAGATATTTGCAGAACTAAATTCTTTTATCTTTCAATTAAAATAATCAGACTGTTTCTCAAATAGAGGGTGATATGATGTTGAAGTACCATTACTTCTTTCTTCTGTAGGACTTGTAAAGTTTGGAAAGAATACTACTTAAATAATCTCGTTATATTTGTGCTCACTACTTGGCGCTCTCTGAGTAGACAGAGCAATCACAGTTGGCACAGAACACGTAACATCATGAGGGAAGTTGTCTTCCCTTTGTGACATGATCATGACAGACATATTTGGCTACACTGTTGTCTTTGATTGCTTTCAATATTGTGTGATTTCAGGAAGTAGGGTAATTGCCTTGAATTGTGAATTAAATCATGACTTGAATCTTGGATTAAAAGTCTCTTATTCCTTTACTATCTGCTTCTCAAAGGAGCTACTAGCTAAAAATAAACACCCACTTGATGTGCAATATTCTCAAGAATCAAGATCAAAAGGACACTTTGGTTGGACCAAATATTGACTGTGTCAGCATGACAAATTTCCCACTGCAGATCCACACCTCAAGTGACAGCCTCAGGTTTTTCACGGCTGGTATCATTGTGAAGTCTTCTGCGATGAATGGGGCACCCAAATGGACACATTGGTGATCTGTTCCTATGAGGGGATTATGATTTGGTCAAATGCCGAACCATGAATACTTCTGCAGAATATGATGGAACAAACCTGCCCTTCTTTAGAAATGTTATCCAGTGAAACCCAGTTCAGTGGCCAGAACAAGAGCTACCAGGTTTTCAAGAGATCTTCATGCCTGATTACAGGTCTATACATGCCTGATTACAGGTCTATACATGCCTGATTACAGGTCTATACATGCCATGTCTTCAGATGATCGTATCATAAAATGTCTTAAATTCATTCCAAAGGGAAGGATGACCAATTTGCAAAAGCTGGGATATTTTTAAAGAAATTAAGCTTACAGATTTCAAATGCATAGAGTAGCTCTGGTCTAACAAAACACTGACATGTGAAACTCATTAGGGATCTGCTTTAATAAATAGAAGGATTAATTTTTAATTAGTATATTAGGTGTTTTCTTGTAAATGGCAACAACATTCTAGCCCCAAAAAACTCTAAATTAGCATAATCCAAATACAGTTTTAATTTAAATAATTCTATAGTATCCGATTCAACAAACTCATTGAGAATCAACTTTACTAGGCTCTGTGGTAGATGCTACAGCAGCAAAGATTAATCAGACATGGTCTCTGCCTCAAGGAGATGACAGTATAGTGGGTGAGAGAAGGATACAATTGGCTATTCCATAATACGATAAATGCTATGCTTTTGAGATGAAGAGTAAGCTTTCAGAGGACAAGGTGGGGGATGAGATTAACTTCACTTGTGGAATGCATACAAATTTCATGGAGGAAATAATAGTGAATTTGGGCTTTTCCATTTGGTGAAGTTAAGTAACAATTCATCAAACCAAGAAGAGTCAGAAATGCACCATAGTAGAGAATTAGCATGAAAAAAAGCCATGATGGTAGGAAGGGGTAAGGCATCTTTGGGAAATACCATGACTGTAACAAGTAGAGCCTGAGAGAGAGGCAGAAGATGAGGCTGGAAAAGAATTAAGCTAGATCACTATTGCCCTAAATCCATTCTGGAGCTGAGACTTCCTCCTACAGACAATTGGAAGTCAGAGAGTGATTTGAGCCAATATTCATGTGTGCAGATAAAAACTCAAGCAGAGGTCCCTGTTGCTTCAGAGAGAATTAGGGTTTGTATAGCAAGAAAGCAAGAAGAAAGAATCTATTTCAACCTTCAACTTTCAAAACAAGAGTGAAAGTCACTGCTTTTAATTTTCAAAAACCAAGACTTTGAGAAGAAAAAAGCTTTTGCAAGTCACAAGGCAAATCCCTGAGAGAGCTGGCAGAATGTAGGAAAACGCAGTAAATTACTGATTACTGCGTCGTCCCTCAGCCTGTATCCCCACCACTCACATGGCTTAAGACCAATGACTTGCTAGTTCTGCATACCATCCTTTTATCAATCCAAAGTCTCACTGAGATGATTCTGAGATAACAAGGAAGAGATAGAAGCTTGGGTTAAGTCTAGAACTTCTAAAATATTTATAGGGCAACCTCAGGGTTTACCCATAAACAATAGACTAAGAAGAGAATTGATGAATAAGTAGAAGAAAGTACATTGTGTAGCCTACCTAGGCATTTAGCAAAGAATGTAGGGTGCCGGAGAACCAGTAGGGACCCTGCACCTAAAGGAATCTTTTAGAGAAGTGGGCAACACCGAGAGATGGCCGAACCTCTGAGTGAGCCCCTCCAATGGCCAGAGCCAGGGAACTTTAAGGGAGCTCAGCTGGCCTCCTCTATCTCTCTTTGAGCTAGCATCACTAGTATCTACTGCCTGAGATGCCCCTTGAGGTGTCCCTTGAGGACCTCTCATCAACAACTGCCTGTACTCTGAAACAGTGAACCATGCCCTGGCCTTCAGACTGCTCAGCTCAGCCAGATCCCCCCGTGTGGAAGAGGTCTTCTTCAAAGGTTTGGGACATTTGTAAGCCTCAAAAAGGAAGTGTGAGTCCTTAACATCCATAGAAAGTGCCAGTACCATGGAAAAGAAGGTATGTCTGCATTTCAACTTGGAGGAGCAGGGTGGGAGGTGGTAATTGAACAAGGCCAGCTTGTGATTTCCTCTCATCTACAACCGTGGAGAAACCACTTCTGTGCAATATCACATTAATGTATTTTAAGACACATCCCCTTGTATCCCTGTCTTGAGTATATTATAATTCCACGAAGAATTTCTATTTGTCCCTGCTACCACAACAAAGCAGGGATTCTGACTGTAACTAGTTATCCCAGAAGGCCTCTATGGGTACTGACAGTTCACAGTTGTTTGTGGAAAGAACAACTGGGTCATGGGGAAAGTGTTACTTCATCCAGATAGGCATGTACCTCAAGGCAACGGGTAACAACATGCAGGTCATATAAAGGCAGTTCTTTGCACACATTAGCCATCGACATTTGAAGACACTCATTCTATTTATTCCCCATGCTCAGTCCTGAAGATCACTGACTCCCTAGCAAAGGTTCAAGGCATGTGGAGTACCAAGTAGTAATAGTTTTAACATTTGGATCAGGGTATGGTCATACACATACACCCTTTACTAGATTTCTTTACTTTTACCAAAATGGAGGAATGTGAAAAAAGCTAATAGTGTCTAATTTCAACTTTATAAAAGAGATGCTCAGTCTGTCAGCAGCAGATGAGCACTGAACACCTACACTTTCTTCCGATATTTTGGGGGGTACAAATGCCTACAAAAAAAGGAAAAACAAGACATAAGCCATGACCCTTGTTCTGTCCTCCAGGACTGTATAATCCCACAGGATTTTCCAAATTAAAGCCTAGGGATGTTGATTTTATGGACTCCTTGATATCTAAGGCAGAGAGGAGTCTGGGAAGAACTCCAAGCTAAGGGAAGGATATTTTTGTCTCCATGAATGGGACATAGATGATGTTTAAGAAGAGTAATAATTTATGAAAAAACTGAATAACTCTTGACCTTTCTGGAGGAAGGCTACAGGTATGGAATATGAAAGTATCTAAATCAAGAGAAAATGTATCATGATACAGTAAGAATGACTGATCACTGCATAATCCCTGGCTTACTAGCTCCATCATCCTCATGGCCAAAAGTCAGTAAGCCTCGAGTCCTACATAACATTCTTTCATCAGTCTGGATCCTATCCGAGATGATGCTTAAAAAAAACAAAAAATAACAAGGGAGAGATGATTGGGCTGTCTAGAAATGTTAGTAGACCCA